GGGGAGAGTTCTGGTGGGGTAGTGGCAGGAAGCTGTGCTACAGTCCCGAAGACACATGGTTCAAGGCCACCAGGTGCTCCACGGAAGAAGGATGGTCAGTCTCTTCTCTGTGAAATTAACGGTCTCTGAAAAATCTGCCGGAGGGTCAGCTATCAGTTGGTTCTGACTCGACGGTACACAACAGCATAAGAACTCTAGTGGTGTGGTTTGTAACATGTCAGGTTCCTAACTAAAATGCCAGAGTTACTAGCTCAAAACCACAGGACAAAGATAAGTACTCTCTGAGACTTATAGCCTCAGAAAACTAGTGGAAGGCTGAGGGAAGGCATAGATGACTTGACAGCAGTGGGTATATTGGGCGGTATGCTAAGAGTACTCTAAACCTGTAGTAATTAAACCACTTAGTTAATTGGATGGTGAAAGTTGATGTCACATAACTTTGGGCATGTTGTTAAGAAGGATTAGTCCTTGATAAAAGACATTCTGTGAAGAACAGAGGGTCAGACGAAGAGAGGATGGATTGACATGGTGACTGAAAATGGGTTCAGATATCTCAAAGATGAGGACTGGCACTGGACGGGACAAGGCTCACCTCTATAGGGCTGCTGTGAGTCCTAACTGACCACCACCACCACCATCACCAAATGAAGCCACAGCGATCATGCAGGTGCAGGCAAACTGATCGATACAAATCTCGAGAACAGATCCATGACTGCACAGAGGTTAGATACGTGGCTAAAATGGGTTGGTATGTCGTGAGAAAAGAGGAGATGATTTTCAACAAATGGTGCCAGGACAGCCTAGAAAAAAGTAAGAATTAGATCCTCACCTCATACCTTGCATAAACATCAATTCCAGATGTTTAAATGTTAAAGTTTACATGTAATGTAAAATTTAATGTAAATGTTAAATAATGTAAATGTTAAAGTGTACATGTAAGAATGGAGGGAAGAGGGAACATAATGGAAGTGGGAAAGATGTAACAGGGATCTGTAAAAACAGTATAATTAATGATGGGCATAGTGCAATGGTGATTAATTTTATAAAACATAATGAATGGGAATTATTGAGTGAAGGATAATGTGAAGCACGATGTATACAAGTTTTGCATTGAAACCATTATAAAATTTTAAAAAGAAAAAAAAGGAATGAAGATCTGACCAAGGGAAAGGAAAATCCTCATCAACACCATAAGTACAAGGACAGCTGTAAGATTAGTCATACCTGCCTCCCGCTACCCGTCACCAAAGTTCAGACCGCTAGACCTTTAGGGTCAAACCCAGCACTAACACTCCCTTCCCCCCAGTGCTCACGACTTCTCTGCCGAGTTCACTGCAGCGGCCACACAGAAGTCACAGGCCATACAATCATGGCCGTCAGAGGGAAGTCATAGGCTACAGCTCAACATATGGAAGAACATGGGTGAAAAGAGGCTCCTCAGCCCTGTCCGGGCAAGGGTTGCCCAGCTCTCTTAACCCTAGAGTCATGTGCTCAGCAGCACCCCTCATTCCGCCAGGAAGTGTAACCCTAAAGGCATTCAGTTCTTGCTGTGTAAGGCAGCAGATTTAGCTCCATGGGAAAGTGCCTAAGTGGCATGTCCACTCTGCCAGCTAGCCTCCTTTTTGAAGGCACTAGGCTTTCTTGTTCCATGGCCCAGAAACCTAAACTCAGGCAGGTTTCCTGGGTCTGCACCGTAGACGGTATTCTGCCAACCAAGTTGCTGGCCAACTTCAAATTCCTGAGCCTTGGAAGCCAACAGCCTGACATCTGACCCAAAGATTTGGGACTTGCCACCCTCTTACAAGTGTGTGTTCTTTTATCAGTCTTTGGAATATTCATTACTCTTCTCCAACACCACATCTCAAAAGCATTGATTCTCTTTCTGTCATCTTTATTCATTGTCCAACTCTCAGATGTGTATCAAGTGATTGAAAAGATGGTTAGAATCCAGCACTCCTTAGTCTTCAAACTGGTATCATTGCTCCTTAGTACTTTGGAGAGAAGATGGATAGCAGACTCTCCCAGTGCAAGGGTTTTTTTAATTTCTTGATTGCTGATGATTGTTGATCCAAGTAAGGTGAAATAATTGACAATTTCAATGTTTTCTCCATCTGTCATGATATTGCCTATCAGCCTAGTGGTGAGGATTTTTGTCTCCATATTAAGATGTAATCCATATTGAATTGTGAAGTGTATTCTCATAATAATAGTAGTTAAAAGAGTTGAAAAGCCCTGGAAACTGTTGGGCATGTACCCCACCCACACGTACCAAAAACATCCAGAACAGTGAACCACTGGAAACAACCCAAATGTCCATTGATAAGAGAATGTACTGGCACATGATACTTGATCTGCACAACGGAAATTCTTACAAGATTGCAAATGAATCAGATGTGTAATACGATATATAACGTACATCAGACTCAAAGGCTACGTATTTTGTAATTCTATTAATAGGAAGTGTCTAGAATAGACAAAATCTCCAGAGACAGGAAGTAGATTAGTGTTTATCAAGGGCTTAAGGCGGGAGAGGGATGGAGATTGGCTGTTGCCGGGCACCCGGGGGCTTCTTTGAGGATGTCGACTGCTGACTGGAGCACTGGTCCCTGAGTGCTTTGTTTGCATGGGACTAACTTAGAAGCTCTGGTGCCCCTACTAGCTAAGGAGTTGTATGTATTACCAGCACCAACTCAAAGACAGGCTGTCAGAACCCTCCAGCGGCCCTGTGGGAAGAACATGGACAGTCTCCTCTTGTGTGATGTATAACCTCTGAAAATCCACTGGGAGGTCAGTTATGAGTCAGTTCTGGCTCACTGGCATATAACAATAGCAGCTTAGAGGTTGATGGTTTGAACCCACCCCATAGCACCACGGAAGAAAGGCCTGGCCACCTGCTTCTATAACCATTATAACCAAGAAACTGTATGGCCCATGTCGACTCTGTAGCTCATCCCCATGAACTGGATGGAACCTGTTCTAATGGCAGCAAGGTTGGGTTTGTTTGGAAGGACAGCTTTTTTAATATATGAGAAACCACTGGATGCTAAGTTTAAAAGGCTCAGTTTGTGGTATGCAAAGCGTATCTTAATAAAAATTGAAAAAAAGAAATCCAAAGGAATGATTTTAAAATATTTTTTCATAACACTGCTTTCTTTGGAAGGAGCCCTAGTGACGTAGTACATAACAGGCTGTTAACTGGAAGGTTGGTGGTTCAAAATCCATTAATTGCTGGTAAGGCAAGGTGGACAGTCTCCTCCAGTTCACAGCCTCAGAAACCTCATGGAAAGTCAGTGTGAGTCAGAGTCAACTCAGAGGCTGGGAGCTTAGTGATGGGTTACTTCTGAGAAAAATAGGATAGGATAGATCGGAGGGAAATAGAAGTAAATGCAGCAATATTTGTAACATTTTTAGTTTTCAAAGATAGATGTTTCTGAGTATTTATCTTGTTTCTATACTTCATTTTTTGTGTAGGCTACAAGTATGTTGTTGTTGTGTACCACTGAGTCAGAACCGACCCATAGCTGACCGTCCAGCGAGTTTTCAGAGGCACCTTAATCGTACAGGAGGGGATTGCCCATCTTTCTCCCACAGAGCAGCCAGTGGATTTGAACTGTGTGATTTTGGGATTGTGGTATACATGTATATATGTCTATATAAAATATAATGTGGAATTGAAAAGAAATAAAAATAGGAAATCATCTTAGCAAAAACTCTTGAGGCTGTTTGATAAATGCCTTTGATTTGCTCCTCTGAAGTCCAGGTTTGAGCTTTAGCTGGCTCTTGATGTGATTGTTCTGACCTCTGGTGGCTGAAGGGTGAAGAGCCGCTGTTGCTGTATACTCCAAACGTCTCCATAACTGTGTACTGTCAAGTCCGAACTGACCCATAGCTGACCCACCAGTGCATTTTCAGAGGCAGTAAATCACACGGGAGGAGACTGTCCATCTTTCTCCCCTGGAGCAGCTGGTGGATTGGAACTGCATACCTTTGCATTAGCAGCAGTTCCTTACCTCCAAGCCACCAGAGCTCCCTAGATGGCTCTGGGCCCTGTGAAAAGGACACATCACCCTTTGTTCTTTTCCAAGTGAGGGGGGATCAGCAGTGGCTTGGACCTTTGGACATGTCTACTGGTCAGAACTACACAAAGCCAGATCTGGGGGGGGGTCACCCATCTCATTTTCACAGACACATCTGGGCCTTATGCAAACAACATTGGTGACCCAAAGGGCCGGCCTTGTGTGGGCCTGACTGCTGGACATGAGTCTCTAAGGGCTTAGATCACTGCCGGTTTCAATCCACTTGGAAGAGAGCGTAGGGCCTCTGCGTCCTGTGCTTTCCTGGTTTGGGTTTTCCTCTTCCTCTCTGGCTCTTTACTTCACTTGTCTACTTTGACAGTGGGGTGTGTATAATTCCCCTAAACCTACTCCTCTGCAAGACCAGCTAGTCCTGCTCCTGCCTCCACTCAGATGGCCCACCCTGGGACCCCCACCTGGGACCAGAGTCTTGGGTGTGTGAGCAGAGCCCAGGTCTCTTCTAGGGAAGGAACAGCTGGTTACTGAAGCTCAGGGACCTGTCTCCAAGCTTGCTTTGTTTAACCAGCCCCCTCTGCCCTTGATTCAATCAAGACATACAGAGTTTGTGACAGTGCATGTTGGCTGCAGGGAACCAGGCCAGAAAGTCCCAGACATCTTAATGAGCCAGGCTTGTCCACAGAGGGGGGCCTGGTGAGAGGGGCCTGGATGAGGTCATCCCCAGAGCCCTCCCGTCTTTGGCACGAGACAAGCGCTCTCTGAGCTCTAAATCCTCCATCCACAGAATGGAGCAAGGACAGTGCCTGCTCATTGTCTGAATTCAAGTGTGTTGATTGAATCCGTGTTTGCTGGACTCTCTGTGAGAGTTTGCTGGTGGTGGTTTGAACTCTGGTGGAGAGAGGAGAGCATGTCGGGGACAGACAGTCTCCCATCCAAAGACTCTTTCTCCCCCTTCTGTCCGCAGACGCCATGGAGGTGGTGCTGATCTTCCTCTGTAGCCTGCTGGCCCCTGCGGTCCTCGCCAGTGGTAAGTACCTCTCTAGCTTCTATGACATGATCTAGTCGAAGCTTATGGTCGAAAGTGTAGGCTCTTTGAGGTTTGAGGGGCTCACTTTTGACCTGAGCCTTGGAGTTGGGCTTGCACATCAGTCTCAGGGTCAGAAGTCAGGGACTCTAGGCCATGCGAGTGGCCAGTCTTTCCTTGGCTCATATTTCCTTGTCTGTAATGGAGCTGATAGATCTGCTGTTTGGGAAAGGCAGGGCAATAACAGGCACATGTTGTGAAAGCCGGATCCCATTTGGGCTCAGAACTATACCTGCCCTCGGCCGCCAGAGGGCCCTCACTGCAGCCCACCCTGGTGCTTCTCCAGATGGTGCTCAGCGGCCACTGCCTACCTGAACGCCCATATGGGGAATAGATCTGAGGTGAAAGAGACGGAAACCGGGGTGTGTGGCTGTCTTCCTCTTGACCAGATTTGTTTATTGTTTGCAGCAGCTGAGCAGGAGAAAGAAACAGACCCTTTTCATTATGGTGAGCATGAAGGCACCCCTGGAAGGGGAGAGGCATGGCTGAGGGGGGGAGAGGCATTCTTTCAAGGAAGGGTCAGGCGCGCGCTCAGTGGCTCGTCCCTCTTACATCCCTCGGTTGGTTCCCTTGGCAGACTATCAGACGCTGAGGATCGGGGGCCTGGTCTTTGCGGTGGTCTTCTTCTCGGTGGGGATCCTTCTTATCCTGAGTAAGTGTGTGTTTCTTTGTTCACTGTGATGATTGAGATTGAGGAGTACAGGGAACTGGAGAAGGGCCCAGCCATCCTTTCTTCTGGAGCAGTAACAAGACTCTATTCACATGGCATCTCTGGGACCTTATACTGTGCTGGGCACATAGCAAGTGTTCCATAAAACAGTAGAAACACAAAATAAAATGCTGGGTCAAGAGAAGCCTGGGTAAGAAGGGGGAAAGTGAGCCGCTCGGGGTGCTGACCCCAGCAGGGCGTGAGTGGGCGTGACAGGGGATGATGCCCTTGTGCCCTGCCGATGGTCCCTAGATGATTTGCCCACATGACCCTGGTCTGCACAGAGCCTTTGGGCACATTCTTAATCAACCAGAGCTGTCCAGTGTGTTACCTCAGCCCCTTTCCCAGCCTGAGACTGCAGCAGGGAGCTGTATACCCGTGCACTGCCCAGTTCCTAGAGGACTGTTTCCATGGTCACAGGACCGCACAGGCCAACAAGCCAGGAGTCTGCTCATGCTGGTTTGTTTACCTTCCAGGTCGGAGATGCAAGTGTGGTTTCAGCCAGAAGCCCCGGTAAGGCTGCCACAATCGGGGCCATCTGGGATGACACTCGAAGGGACACAGAGGGGTCCGTGGGGTTTTGGCCCCAAGTGGTGTCAGAGTTTTGTTTCTGAAAGAGGATAGGTTTTGTGGGCGGGAGGGGTAGATGATTGAGGTTCACACAACAGACTTCGAGCCAAAGAAGCAGTCTTCTAACGTGAAGTGTTAGCTCCTCCCTCTCTCCCCTGAAACTGTGGGTGGTAAGAAGGTGTTAGAACCTTGTCTGGAATCCCTCAAGACAGTGGGAACAGAAGTCCATGTGGCCTTTCAATGTCCATTTCCTTTGTAGGATGGGGATGCTGTCCCTACTTGTCCCCTGTCCGCTAGGCTCAGGCACTTGGATTCTCTTTCATCTGTCCTCACATAAAGGTCACACCCCAGCAGTCCAATGCCCACAGCAGGATATGAGTCAATCCATGCATGGCACTAGGCCACCCCTTCCCAGTACCCAGTTCTCTTGGGGTCTGACACTGAAGGGTGACCCCTTCAGTGCACCCTGCCTCTGCTCCATGCACCCCTGGTAGCATGTGCTGCAGTCCCACAGGTGGCATGAAGAGACAGGTCACAATGGCTTTGAACCATCATGGATCTTCCATGCGGACCCTTGACCGAGCTGTGTGTCTCTCTCACAGGGCTCCAGGGGACGAGGAGGCCCAGGTGGAAAACCTCATCACTGCCAATGGTATTACGTGGGTGACAGAGGGCGGGTACGGGCCCGTATGGCTGGGATGGGACTGCACCAGGTGCCTTGGCCAGCTAATTGTGCTCTCACAGAGCCAGGGAAGAAGGTCCTCATTGTGGTGCTACCCTCAACAAACCCACACTCCCAGTGCTACCCCTCTGTGTCAGGCTCTGAGCAGCCCAGGTCACATTCTACCTTCCTGCTCCTTACCGCTGAGGAACCCAGCTTTGTCACCAGTAGGCAGCAGGTTTGTCCCTAGGCCTGTCTCACGCAGAAGCTCTTGGTTCCCCCAGAACGGGGCATTGGCATGGCTGCTGTGGGCAAGGCCTCTACAGTAAAGGGTCCATCCACTAGTCTTTCCTGGTTTTCTTTCCAGCAACGGAGCCCCAGAAAGCAGAGAATTGAAGTGCAGCCCTCAGATGGAAGGTAAGATGCCGTCTTCTAGATCCACTGTCCCTGCCACCATTACTGTCCTCAGCAAGGCTGGACTGGGAGAGGACATGTGGCCATGGTCCCACCGTGCTGGCTCTCACTTGGAGCCATGCGCTGAAGGGCCTTATGTCTGAGAGGTGCAAGGAAAGAGCTGGGGATCAGACATGCTCCCAGAACAGCACCTCCCGGTAGACCGGTGGACAGGGCGATAGAGTGTCCTCCTAGATGTCACGTGGATGTGGCATGGGAGGGAACTGGCTAGCAAATCAGTCTGTCAGAACATCGTAAGGGTGTTAACTTGCAGAGATGATTCATGAAAGATCCTCTTTAGGATTACTTTTTTTTTAAACCTTTTATTATTAAACTCTCTAAATCTACAACATGCCAGTGTTAACCACTTATCAACATTTAGGGTCCCTGATTTAATATGACTAACATTTATTGTAGAGGGTACAGGAGAGTGGTATCTATTGAGCATCTTACTGTTGTTGTTTTGTGCCGTTGGGTCAGTTTTTGACATGAGAGAACAGAATCGCCTCACCGGATTTCTAGTTTGTAATCCTTAGACTAAGGTGCGTCTGATACAGGCCATGGTCTTCGCAATCACCTGTTATGCATCAGAGAGTTGGACAATGACCAAGGAGGATAGAAGGAGAACTGATGCCTTTGAGCTATGGTGCTAGAGAAGAGTATTGAGAATACCATGGACTGCTAGGAAAACAAATAGATTTGTCCTGGAGAGGGTTAAACCGGGTGGCTCCTTGGAGGCAAGGATTCTGAGGCTCCGTCTAACTTACTTTGGACATGTAGTGAGGAGAGACCGGTCCTTAGAGAGGGACATCATGCTTGGGAGGGTGGAGGGACGGCGCAGGAGAGGAAGGCCCTCTATGAGGTGGATTGATTCAGTGACTGGGGTAATTGGGATGGGAGTGTCAGACACAGTGCGATTGGCACAGAACAGAGCGGAGTTTAGGGCTGTTTGTACATAGGGTCGCTATGAGTCGCAGGCGACTCGACGGCACATAACAACAACAACAACAACAATCCTTAGACAAGCAGATTGCCAGCTCTTTCTTCTTCAGAGTCACTGTACAGGCTCAAACTGTCAACCTTTCAGTTAGCAGACAGGCAGCACTTAGCCCTTGCTCCACTCACTTGAGTTTGCCAGGAACTTACAGAAATAGGACAGTTGGGGCTTATTCCCATTTTACAGGTGAGGAAACTGAGTTCAGAGGATGTCTAGCCATATAGGCAGTAGGTGACAGGTGACAGACTAGAACCTGAGATCGGGCTTTTTCTTTTTTCTTGTTTTTTTTTTTTTTTGGTCTGGCATGATGATTGCTTTATTGTCATTGGTGCTATGGTTGTGTCTATTATCAATATCAGTAGCATCTCTAATAGAGAAAGAAAGGGATAAAACGTATTCCAAATTGAAAGCAAATAGGATTTAATTATGCACATTCTGCTTTGTTTCCCTTTATGCCTTTTATCATTTTCTTTTCCATTTGTCTTCAAGCATGGTACGGGTAGACATAAGATTAGTTTCTGGAGTTGACAGTTTGGTAGGGAGAAGGAATCTAGTCAGGTAGTGTGGTCCACAGGGAAGTGCATGGCTGACCCAAAGGTGGCGTGCCCTCAGGCAGTTCGAATCCACCAGTAACTCTATGAAAGAAAGACAGGCAATAATTTCGCGTGCAGTTTCGAGCGTTGGAAGCCCAGTGGAGTGTCAGCTATGAGCTGGCTCCACCTGGACACAGTGAGTTCGTTAGTGTTGGTGTCATTGTCAGTGTACGTCGCTGCTCCTGCCTGGCAGACTCTGCCCTGGAGCATAACCACAAGTTACTCTCAAGTGGAGTCTGACTTGGGGTGACCCCGAGTGTGTCCGAGACTATGCCCACGCAGCGGCTTTCCATGGCTAACTTTCCAGATGAGGATCACCAAGCTTTCCGCCCCTCCCCCCAAGATACCTCTAAGTGTACTTGAACTTGTAATGTTTTGAGGAGCAGTTAAGCACTCTAGCTTTTTGCACCCCCCGGGAATATACAAGGATCAAGGGAAGGGGTCAGTCAATGAGAAGTCACCACCCTTCCAATCATGATGTCCTTCTCCAAGGATTAGTCCTTCTTGGCCACGTGCCCAAAGTATGTGAAACAGAGCTTTAAAACTCTTGCCTCCAAGGAGAAACTTGGTTTCACCCTTATCAAGACAGACCTACTTGTTCTTCTGGCTGTCCACTTTTCTCCAGAACTACAACTAAAAGGCGTTGAATCTTTTCATTTCTGCGTATAAATGTCATTATTTTTGGCAGAAAAGTTGCAAAGGGAGAGGATCTTGGCAGATAAGACGTCTGATGCATCGGTTCTTACTGTGATTGTATTAATCTTGTGTATGTGGTGTGGTACTTCAGTTATTTCCTGAGTGTTTTCCAGCCTCATAACAGCTGGGGTGGGCAGAGCTTGTCATGCCCATCTTCTTGATGGAGCTCTGGAAGGTGAGCCATCTGCCTGAGCTTGAGACGACAGAAGCTGGGCTAGGATACAGTCCCTCCATCCAATAGCCCAATCCTCTGTCCACTCCTCCCAGCTGGAAGGTTAGACCGAGACTCTGGGGCCCTGGGGTGGAAAATCTTCTCAAAGAAGGCAATCTTGAGCTAGAGTTGCTTTTTCCTTTTCTCTTTAAACAAGGGGTCCCTGTAGGGCAGTGGTGGTGCAATAGTTGAATTCTTGCCTTTCCTGCTGCAGAGCTGGATTCTTTCCCAGTCAATGCAGCTCTTGAGCCTCTTGCCTGTCACTGGTGGCTTGTTTCTTGCTATGATATTGAACAAACTTCAGCAGAAATTTGTTAAGACTGTTATCAAGACTGTGACAGACTAACAAGAAATGTCTGGTGATCTCCTGTCAAACATAAGCCAGTGGACCACCGTGGTCCAGTCAGTTATGTCAGTTATGTTTGGGAGTCTCCATGACTTAAGGGCTGACTTGACAGCAGCTAACAACAACAGGACTTCCTCAGAAACCCCTTTCTCTTAGGTCTCATGACTGTGAGCAAGTAATGGGGTGCCTTAAACATACACCCCAGGTTTAACATTTTCCCTTCCCACTCTACCAGGTCCCAGCCCCCCTGTGAAGCCCTGGCACCCACCATGCCCCTCTGCCTTCATCTCCTTTCCCTACAAATTCATGGCCATCATGGCTCCTTGGCAGCACTTGAGCAGGGATTAAAGTCCTCATAGGAGATGCTGGGGGCCAAAGTGGGAGGGAAGTCAGGAAGGATTCTGGAGAAGCCAAAGTGTGGAGTTTTTCAGTAATGTCCATCTTCTCTCTCCTCAGCTTCCGGCCCCTGCTGATGTCTAAGAACACCGGCCACTTCAGCAGCAGAGCTTTCCACGGGGGAAGCCCAGAGCGTGCGCGTCCCCTGTGTTCCCAGTCCCCTAACACCAGTCCTCCACATAACCATGCCACTAACACTTGCCTCCCACCCTGCCTGCAGTCTCGTCCCATCCTGTGACGTGTCTGTGCGTGTTTGCTGACCGTGGTCCCCGTGGCTCCTTTTTTGTGGGTGATGTTGTATTAGTGAACCGTGGACTCTTTCCTGGACAGGACCCTAGCCCCCTCCCCCCATTCCTCCCTGCTCCCGTGTGTCCTGCCATTACCTTCCACTCCTAGGAGCCTGCTTGGTCCTGAGAGACCAGTTTCTTCTCTTAACTTAAGGGTGGAGGAGAAAGGAGCCCTGGTGGTGTGGTGGTTAAAGTGCTTGACTGCCAAATAACAAGTTGAAGGTCGTACCTACCCCCCACCTGCTCCATGAGGAAAAGATGAGGCAGCCTGCCTTGGAAACCCAGTGGGACAGCTCTGCTCTGTTCTGGAGGGTGACTGTGAGTTGGGATCACTGAAGGACCATGCCGAGTGTTGAGGGTGAGGAAGGAGCAAAGAGAGGGAGAGTCTGATGTCTTAGGTCTTGGGAAGATTTCTGTCTGTCCAACATCATTCTTCGTGGCCTATCTTCCGACCTCTCACAATAACCTCCCATATTCCACTCCTGACTCAAGTCTGTTCTGAGGGTCTTGAAGCAACTGGAGGTTGAAAGCTGGCCCCTGCCCTGTCCTTGTTCAGGCTACCCACACGCTCTTGTTCTTTCAAGTCCACCCTTTAGACCAGGGATTCCAGGCTCAGGGCTTCCACGCTGCCCCTGGGGAATGTGCCCCTGGCATATCTTCTCAGCAATAACCCCATGGACCCTGGAACCCAGCCTGTTCTCCAGCTTCCCTGCCTCTGAGACCCCAGTATGTAGCCCAGCTCCTCCAGGTGCAGACACCCAGCCCTGAATGGGGACGTCAGCAGGTGAGGGCGGGATTCCCCTTTCTCTGTGGGCATCAGGGAGAGCCAGGGTCCTTTGCCCTCTGTGCACGTGGGTCCAGCAGTGGGCAGCTCCTGCAGCACAGTGAGGACAGCAGGGGGTGGTCAGAGACCAGGCTAGGCTCCATGCAGCCTCTGCTGAGGAAGCAGCAGGAGGGCAAAGGTTGAGAGGAGAGTAGAAAAGTGAGGTCAGAAGCCACCCCTAGTGTCCATCTTGTTCTCGTGGAAACCACCCAAACCGTGCCGCTGTGACAGGACTGCTGTCCTCTGTGTTGTGATCTATCCTCTCAAAAAAAGAATAAAGTATCATGTTTCCTACTGGCTCAGAGGTGATCTGTGTTGGAAAAAGGCTTTGCTATTTGTTGGGCCTACAGTACGTAAGGGCCTCAAAGGTCCTTGGCCAGAGGGAGGATGTGAAGACTGCAGAGCTGGCATGGGCGTGAGGTTAGTTGCTAGATCTGTGTTTATTTTGGCTGCTTTTCCCCTTTCTCCTTCCTCTCCTTTCTTCTTTATCCTCCCACCCTTCCCCAACCTCATCCTTCCCATACCCTCCTCCTCCCCTCCCTTTCTCTTCCTCCCTCCACACCCCCCCTTCCTTCCATTCCCTCCCCCTTTTCTAACCTCCCTCTCCACTCTCTC